GAGAGAGAGAAGGGAAAAAAAACATCGATGTTAGAGAGACAAATCAATTGGTTGCCTCCTGCACATGCCCCGATGTGGGGTGGGGATTGAACTTGCAACCCAGGTATGTGTCCTTGACTTGTAGGTTTTATATGTATTGTTCTGTGAAATACAGACTAAGAATTGTATGTTTTGCTATTATTAACACTGCTATTTATTCAGTCCCAGAAGCCAAAATGGGATATAATTATACAAATTCAATTTTGCAGACTAGGTTACAGCAAAGGACCTTAATCATATTTTCTTGCCAGAACACCCTCTTTTCCTTTCTCTTTCTAATCAGTTCTTAGTATTTACATTTCGGAGGTATTTTTATAGTCATGCATTGTTTACCTTTCACAATGCATTATTTAGCCCCAGTTTGTAAATGCATGGACATGCAGTGCTTTGTTTTGTTTGTTTTTTTTGCAAAGTAGCTCTGAAAGTCAACGCCAGAAATCCAAAAATGAAATGAAGGAAACAATTCTAATAGGATAAAAAATATTTAGAATTAAAATTAACAAAAGACATACAAAACTTGTACTTTGAGAATTTCAAAATGTTGGAAGAAATTAAGAAGACCTAAATAATGGGAAGACATCACATGTTCATCTCTGATTAATAAAATTAAGATACTTCCCAAATTCAAATGGAAATGCAAGGGACTCAGGATAACCAAAGTGATTTTGAAACAGAAGAACAAAGTAGAAAGACTCAAACTTCCTGATTTCATAGCTATTATAATAAAACTGCAGTAATCAAGACAGTGTGGCACCTGGTATAAGGGTAGGCTTACAAGTGATTTAAGACTCCCCATGTTTCTGGCGCTCTGAGTTATTAAACTGATATATCAGCCCACTCTAGGCTTTTAGGACTTTGTTAAAAGTTTAGCTGATAATCTTCTTGCTCACTTGTGTGGTGGCTGCTTCTTCCCATGATATGTCAAAGGCAAATGGTTTATATGTTCTGTTTCTCTTTGGAGGGACTTGTCATTCTGTGGACTTTAGTTGTCTTGGATTCTCAACTGTATGTTGAGCAAATTCAAGAAACGTTATAATTTTATAGATCAGCTGCTCTTATTGGTATGGTGGTAAGAATACTCTCTTTGTACTTTCTGCATCCTAAAAGTGGAAATAGCCCTGGCTGGTTTGGTCAGTGGTTAGAGTGTTGACCCGAGGACCAAAGGTTGTGGGTTCAAATCCTAGTCAAGAGCACCTACTTCAGTTGCAGGTTCATTCCTGCCCCGGTAGGGTGTGTGCAGGAGGCAACCAATTGATATGCCCCTCTCACATGGTTCTTTCTCTCTCTCCCCGTCCCTCCCTTTGTCCTCTCCTCCCTCCCTCTTTTTCTCACTCCTTCCTCCCTCCCTCCTACTCTCTCTAAAATTCAATGGAAAAAATATCCTCAGGTGAGGATTTAAAAATAAAAAAGTGGGAATAGCTTGGCCTGTAATAGATTCAGCACTCAGTTAAATTTTGTTTAAAGAAGGTTGAATTCATTGAATATTTAGGTGCCATATAGTATGCTAAGCACTTACTGCATCATTTCATTTAATCCACACAGCTGTCTATGAGGTATAAATATTACTATTGTTCCCATTTTTAAGATGTAAAACTGAAGCCTAGTGGAGAAACAGAACTAGAGGCTCTTCATTTTTTGTTGGTTTTACTTAAACCACCTTTCCCCTTTTCCTCCCTCCTCAATAAAATTCTTGAATCCATTTTTTACTTCTCCAAGGAAAGGAAATACAGTCCTGGCATTGCAAGCTCTCATTTCCTCATTTGATGGGAAAAGGGGCATGGTATAATAGAGGGAAAGCTTGAAGGCATCTAGTTGGGCTTTTAATTAACAAGAAGACACTCTGAAGGCTTTGGATGGTCAGTATTAGCATCTAGGTTCTGTAACAAGTGAATGACAAAATGGCTTTGTTGGCACTTTCCACTTTTCCCTTTCCCTTCTGTTTCTAGTGTAATATAGTTAATAGCCTTTAGTTTTTTCATAGGATAGTAGAATTTTAAGGTTGTTGAGTGTTTGTTTGTTTTTTAGAAAAAGAAAATAGCCAAATTTAGTACGTACATATGTATGGGAACTTCGCATATATGAGAGAAAGATCCCAAATGCATGAGAGGTTCCTAGAATGTTTAAATATTTTTTTTACTATTAATTTTTGACTAACCTGCTATGTGGCAATTATTTAAGGTAGTTCTCATTCTAGGGACTTTAATTATAATTACTTGAACCACTTAAATTTGCCTTAACAAATTCCTTTGTAAGCTAAGTTCAACAAAAGGTGGACTGACAAAGTGTTTTTATTTTTAAGTTTTTGTTTTTGTTCACTTCCAAAAGAAAAACTATGAGATGAGTCTGATCAGTAAGCTCAAATAATACAAACATTATTAATTGATCTCTTCAGTTATTTTCTGAAATTCATTTTCCACGATGTGCCATTTGTAACTCACCACATTAATCATTCCACATTTTCTCACACAGTAGTTGATAGATGCAAGTTTAGTTTCATGCATTGCCTGTCTTTGCTAGAAATTCAATACCTTTTCAAGTATTTCACATGTATTATATAAACTGGGTGATAGAACCCTGGTCATTGTATTTATGAACAGCATTAATACAGAGACAATGTTAAAAGTTAAATAATAGGAACATGGAGACTAGGAGGAAGATTGTTTGGGGAGAATCCTATATAATAAAACCCTAATATGCAAATCCACTGAATGGTGGAAGGGCTGGCATATAGACCGGTCACTATGATGCGCACTGACCACCAGGGGCCAGATGCTCAATGCAAGGAGCTGCCCACTGGTGGTCAGTGCGCTCCCACAGGGGGAGCACTGCTCAGCCAGAAGCCAGGCTCACAGCTGGTGAGCGAGCACAGTGGCAGTGGCGGGAGCCTCTCCCACCTCCGCAGCAGCGCTAAGGAACAGCAAACTGAGCAGTAAGGAGCAGTGAGCAGGTGGGCGGTAAGGAGCGAGGGATCCCCGACTGCCACTGGGGGGGGAATGGGGCCTAAGCTGGCAGGTGGACATCCCCTGAGGGGTCATGGACTGCAAGAGGGCGCAGGTTGGGCTGAGGGACACACACACCCACACACACACACACGCACACACACCAGTGCACGACTTGTGTGCACCAGGCCTCTAGTATTATATAATGCTCTGGCTTGATGTGACAGTCACTAATATGCTGCTTCTTTCTTAGTTATCAGGGAATATGAAGAATACAAAAAGCATCCAGGAACCTAGATTTGATTATTATAACAGTGAAGTTCCTGATATTGACCTCAATGATTGTGAATTCCCACATGTCATTGAAATTTATGACTTTCCTCAAGAATTTCGTACTGAAGACCTCCTACGGGTTTTCTGCAGTTACCAGTAAGTATTGCAAATCGTTGGGGATGTTAGGGAAAGTGGGATGAAGTTTTCTTTAAAATGTCTTCTGAAAAATTCTCATGTTTTCAAATTCCCTGTTGTTAACTTTAGCATCAAGTTTACTTATTTGTCTTTTCCAAGTCCGTTAGAAATGTTGTGTATTAAACCACTCTTCTGCTAAGTCCTTACAAATGCTAAATAGTCTTTATAGACAATTTTTAGCAGTTAGGAAGACCAGTATTAATGATGACTTCTAAATCTGTCTTCATAGTGTATTTAGTTCATTTTATATTGTAATTATTGATATACTTTTGAATAAGGTAGAGGTTAGGAGTGCAGACCAACCCACACAGTCAGAAATACACATATAACTTTTGACTCTCCAAAAACTTAACTATTAAGAGCCTACTGTTAACTGGAAGCCTTACTGATAACATAAGTAGTTGATTAACACTTATTTTGCATGCTGTAAGTATATGTACAGTATTTTCACAAGAAAGTAAGCTAGAGAAATGTTACTAAGAAAATCATAAGACAAAGACAGTACATCCTATATAATAAAGAGGTAATATGCAAATTGATCATCACTTCAACACACAAGATGGCCACCCCCATGTGGTCAAAGATGGCCGGCACAAGATGGCTGGCAGGGGAGGGCAGCTGTGGGTGAGCAGGCCTGCAGGGGAGGACAGGTAGGGGGCATTGGGCTGGCAGGGGAGCAGGTAGGCATTGATCAGACTGGCAGGGGAGGGGTTAGGGGGTGATCAGGCTGTCAGGCAGAAGCAGTTAGGGGCAATCAGGCACGCAGGCGAGTGGTTAGAAGCCAGCAGTCCCAGATTGTGAGAGGGGTCCCAGATTGGAGAGGGTGCAGGCTGGGCTGAGGGACACACACCCCTCCATGCATGAATTTCGTGCACCCGGCCTCTAGTTTATAATACTGTACTATATCTATTGATACTATAGGTTTTAAGAAATTCAAACATAAATATTAATAAATTCACATGCAAGTTCAAAACCATCCATGTTCAAGGGTTAACTGTATTTGGATGTATGCCTGACATCCTTTTTTGTATGTTTACTTGTTCCATCTTTTTCTCCTCTTTCTTGCCTTCTTTTGGATGGATGAGGTATTTTTTTCATTCTATTTTTGGGGGAAATGATGCTCTGTTTCTATTCTTTGGTGGTTACTTTAGAAATTACAAAATGCATGTTTATCAGTGGCTAAAGTTAATATGTTCATACTCTTCCCAAACACTGTAAGAGCTTTTAGCTTCATTCCCCAATTCCGTTCTTCACTTCATCTCCACCCCATTTTATATGCTACTAGAGGCCCAGTGCACGGATTTGTGCACCGGTGGGGTCTCTCTGCATGGCCTGTGGGGATTAGGTCAAAACCAGCTCTCTGACACCCCCCAAGGGGTCCTGAGTTGTGAGAGGGTGCAGGCCAGGCTGAGGGGACCCCACCAGTGCATGAATCCATGCACTGGGCCTTTAGTATGCATATAAGATCTTTGGTTAATCTCTTCCCTCCCTCACCTTTCTCTCCTTCTCTCTGAGATACATTGTTATGTACCATGTTTCCATGCCTGTGGTTTCAGCTCCTACATCGAGCATATGCCCCCTGGTGGTCAGTGTGCGTCATAGCTACCGGTCGGCTGGTTGGCCAGTTGCTTAGGCTTTTATATACATAGATTATGATTGAGCATTGTGATTCGGCCCAGTGCACGGATTTGTGCACCGGTGGGGTCTCTCTGCATGGCCTGTGGGGATTAGGTCAAAACCAGCTCTCTGACACCCCCCAAGGGGTCCTGAGTTGTGAGAGGGTGCAGGCCAGGCTGAGGGGACCCCACCAGTGCATGAATCCATGCACTGGGCCTCTAGTATGCATATAAGATCTTTGGTTAATCTCTTCCCACCCTCCCCTTTCTCCCCTTCTCTCTGAGATACATTGGTATGTTCCATGTTTCCATGCCTGTGGTTTCAGCTCCTACGTTGAGCATATGCCCCCTGGTGTTCAGTGTGCGTCATAGCTACCGGTCGGCTGGTTGGCCAGTTGCTTAGGCTTTTATATACATAGATTATGATTGAGCATTGTCATTCTATTTATTTATTTATTTTTATTTCTTAAAAAAATATATTGATTTTTTACAGAGAGGAAGGGAGAGAGAGAGTTAGAAACATCGATCAGCTGCCTCCTGCACAACCCCTACTGGGGATGTGCCTGCAACCAAGTTACCTGCCCTTGACCGGAATCGAACCTGGAACCCTTCAGTCCACAGGCCGATGCTCTATCCACTGAGCCAAACCGGTTAGAGCAGCATTGTGATTCTTTTTAATTTTTTTCTTTTAAACTTTATTTGATGTTACTGTTTTATATATTCAGCATTCAGATTTACCCATTTTCTGTGTTCTTCATTTATATCTTCTTGCATCTCATACCTACCATCTGAAATCTTTTTTTTTATGTAAGTGTGGGACAATTATTTAACATTTACTTTAATGATAGTCTGCTGGTAAGAAAGTCATTTTTTTTTAATGGCTTTATTTCAGCTTCATTCTTGAAAGGTGTTTTTGCAGGATATAGACTTATAGATTGGTAGTTACTTTTCTCTCAGAAACTTGAAGAAGTTATTATTTTACTGTTTCCTGGCATTCCTTGTGGAGGATGAGAAGTCATCTCAAAGTCTAGCAACTGTTGCTTCTGAATGTAATATTTTTTTTCCTTTGGATGCTGTTAAGGCTTTCTCTTTGTTTTTGGTGTTCTGAATTTTCAATATGAGGCTTTGTGTTTCTTTTTATTTATTCATTCTGAGATTATTTGGGCTTCTTAAATCAGTGAATTAATGTTTTTTATTGGTTTTGGAGAGGACCTCACACATTATCTCTTCAAATATTGCCTCTGCCAGTTTCTCTCTCTTCTGCCTTCTCTAGGATGCCAATCAAATGTATATTAGATCCCTCACTTGATTCTCATGTTGACTCTCATATTTTTTTCTGTTTCATTCTGAGTAATTTCTTTAGCTCTAGTTTCCAGTTCACTGATTTTTTCTTCAGCTGTTTAATTTGCTGTTAAATCTGTCCATTGAATTTTTAAATTTCATTTTATGTTTCTAATTTTTCAAAGTTCTCTATCTTCTTCAAATATGCATAGTCAGTTTTTAGTCTCTTGTTTTCTCTAAGTATTTTCAAAATTTAAAAAATTTCTTCAAGTATATTAAACATAGAACTGTATGTAGTTTATATCTGGTAACTACTTTACCTGAAGTCTTTTTTTAGTTCTATTTCATCAAATTTTCACTCATAAGTGCCTTGCTTTTTAGTTCCAAGATTGCAGATTTAGTTTCAAGAGCTCTCCATTTCTTTATAATTTTATTTATGGAAATTGATGCCTCCAATAAAAGAAGAGGATTCTCCTGGAAGGATTTGTGTTTTTTCTACCAAGCACCAAGGGCACTAACAGTTCAGGAACACTGTAAATTAAATTATTGATTTGAGGTTATTCTGACCACTCAGTTAGAAATAGTCAAGTGGAGAATGATAAAAAATGATTGTTACATGTTTCAACTAGTTTAACAACACTTATAAGTGTCCATTCGCTTGACAGTCTTTGATGTAGTGCCAAGGCCTTTTTTTTTTATTTGTCTATTGGTAAAAGACTTTTTGTATATTAGCATCATATTATTCCAGTTTCATTTCTTTTAAGTGGAGTAAGAACTTTAACATACTTTCAGATTCATCTGAGTGCATATTGCTTATAGGGTTAAATGTTTCCTCTGTCTTTTATAGCTGTTTTGTCCAAACAGTTTTTAGTAGTTTCTTAGGATTTTTAGTGACTTCACCTTTCTCTGGTTTTCCAATGCATTCAACTAAGTTTTTATAGACAATTAAGACCCAATATCCAGAGCCTATTCCATATAAAATGCATAATAGATTTTGAAAAGCAGTCAAGATTAAATCACAAATTAGAACTACCTTAGATTGTCATTAATAATGATGACTTTTAAAACCAAGGATCAGTTTTGATGTCTAAACTTGGAAGATTAGTTAATTCTAATGAGTTATTAACTTCCCTTTGATTTGTTTCTTTTTAATCTTACCTGTAAGACCTTTTTTCTTATCAAATCTAAAAACATCCTTGAAAGAGAGGTATTTTAAAGGATTATAAATTCTAAAGTCTAAAAGATTCTCCAGAATACATCTAGATCTTTTTGTATCCTTTTGTAAACTATCTTATGATATATATTTTTACTATTGAATTTTTTCACAGTCTCCAACCCCTGTGGTCACTTTACGCTATGGTTAAACTTACCCTTACATTTAGGAAATTTTCTAACCATCAAAGTTTCCTTTATTCTATTGCCCTTAAACGAATTTTTTTATCAAAGGAATTTTTTTTCTTCATTTGTTTTTAAAGGAAAAATATTTTAGCAGTTGACTTTTTTTCTTTATAGTACTTTATAAAAATAGAAAAGGTCAGGATCTGTAATAATGCCTGTGAGTCAGATAATACAGGCAGCTTGTGTTTTAATCATTAATCACCATCTTCATTAATATTAGTAATTTTTTATGAATATTGCTATTAATAATAAAAAATAATGAGTGCCATTCATTTACTAAATACCCCCTGAGTGCTCAATACCATGTGCTCTTTGCCTTGTCATGGATGATCTTATTTCCATTTTTACAATTCTTTGAGGAAGTACCATGCCTATTTCTACAGATGAGGAGACCTAGCTTCAAGAGAGGTTAAACTCAGGATGGATAGCAGAACCTGATTCCATTTATATCTGATGCTTAAACACTGTGCTCTTTCCACAGCACTACATTGAGTCCATGAGCAGTTTTAAGCTCCTAGCTCAGTGGTTCTCAACCTTGGCTGCACTAAAAAAAAAAAAAAAATAGCTGTCATGCCATCATCCTGATAGTCCTTGTGTTAACTATATAACTGTGCTCCAGAATAAAGGTGTTTTTTAGACTAGGGCAGGCAGGCTTTCTGATAACAGTTGTACTTTCTCTCCATTACTTGAATTTTTTTTTTTGAATGATTTGTCTCTCTGTTTCTCTCTCCGTCTCTGTCTGAAACCTACATATGCATTAAATCCAGGTGACCTTCCCTGCCTTCCGCCTCCTCTCATATTCTTCTAACCCTCCTTTGCTTCCCCTTTCTACCTCTTCTTGTTCTGTGCTCTTAAGAACATCTCTTGTAAAATAGTCTGTTAAGTACTTTACCTCCCTAAGGGACTTGTGAGGATTAATTAGTTGATGTCTGTAAAATAACTGAGAATATAAAATACTCCCAGGTAGTTCTTTATACTGGTATTATTGCTTTTAAAATTCAGAGGCTTCTATCCTCCAAGCTGTTTTTGTTTCATTGTCCCCATTCCACCAATGTGCTGTTGAGTGTTTCTCTCTCATCCTGAAATGCTTTTATGAGACTCTATTTGAAAGATGTTTCATAAAGTAAATTTTATGAAATAAAAATTGTGTGGTTTTTTTGTTGCAGGAAGAAAGGATTTGATATTAAATGGGTGGATGACACACATGCCCTAGGAGTATTCTCCAGTCCAATTACAGGTATTTACTCAATGGATTTCAGTGTTATTTTTTTTATTGTCTAATTTTTATTGTCTATTGTCTACTTGTCCTTAGTTCCCTTTTATTTCAGCCAACCAGCATTTTATTCAGCCAGTATAGGGTATTTGGCAGATACAGGTTTTTGAGGAATGGTATTTTGGTACTCATGTGCTTCTCTTCTCCCTTTTCACCTTAATCCAATGGTTTAGAGCAGGGGTGGGCAAACTTTTTGACTCGAGAGCCACAATTGGTTCTTAAACTGGACTGGAGGGCCGGAACAAAAGCATGCATGGAGTGTTTGTGTGAACTAATATAAATCCAAAGTAAACATCATTACATAAAAGGGTACGGTCTTTTTTTTTTTTGAGTTTTATTCATTTCAAACGGGCGGATTCGGCCCTCGGGCCATAGTTTGCCCACGGCTGGTTTAGAGAAATAGGCAGCTTCTTTCAAGGTTATTTGCTGCATAATTGTTTGTTTCAATAGTACATAAACAGATTATAGGTAGATATTTAAGAAGCCTGTGTGACTAAATCTTATAATATTTAAGATTTTTCCCCCAGACAAATGAATTTGCAGTAGCCCTTTAACCAGCTATATAGACAATATGCAAACCAATGGGCATGGCTCTATTTCAGTAAATCTTTATTTACAAAAGTCAGGTGATTGGCTGAACTAGATTATAGAGCCATAGTTTGTTGACCTCTGGTCTGAAATAACCACCGCCAGGTTGTTCCTTACAGACTTTCTAGAGCTTAACGTCTCCTTTGCTTGCCATGAAAGAAAAAATAAAAAGCACATAACATCTAGGGAATACTTTTTAAGAGCTAGTCTTAAATTTTCATTTGCATCGCTCTTTTTCATGTCCTCTGCCTCCTTGTATTTCTTTCTCTTTGCAGCTCGTGATGCTCTGGGTAGTAAACACACCATGGTGAAGATCCGGCCTTTGTCACAGGCCACAAGAGCAGCCAAGGCCAAAGCTAGAGCTTATGCTGGTGAGCCTAATGTCAGGTGTTTTTTTCCTTGTTAATAGTAGTTTACTGTTTTTTCAGCACTTGAACAGCATCCAGAGTAGTAAAGACATAAGACTTTTATTTTTAATGTTAAAAGACATATGTTTTTAAAGAAAGTATAATATAGAAAAGGCTGTGTAGTAAATGTGGCATCTGAGCAGCCACTTGGAGAGAATGGGTGATGCTAACTGTAAGCTATGCAGCAGTCATTTTCTGATGACATCCTTATATAGTTTACCTCTGTGTTTAGTTGTTTGATAGAGTCACTGTAAGAAATTGTGTTAATACAGATAAAGAAGCCAGGGTTGTTTGTGCTTTGCCATGTTAATTTCCTCTGATCATCTATCAGGCTCGTATTAATTACTGCTGATGCAGCCCTTGTTAGTCTATTTTGTATGTTAATTACTGAGTTAAATCACTGTAAGCTAGAGTGCTTTCTCTTCCTTCCTTTCTTTCTCTCATTCAGAGTTCCTCCAGCCAGCAAAGGAGCGTCCTGAGACTTCTGCAGCCCTAGCTAGAAGGCTAGTCATCAATGCCCTTGGGGTTCGAAGTAAGCAGAGCAAAACTGAACGGGAAGCAGAGCTCAAGAAACTGCAAGAAGCCCGAGGTGAGTTGAAGGGATGGCGTTCTTCTCTAGTCCCTTTAGAGCAGTGGTTCTTAACCTTCCTAATGCCACGACCCTTTAATACAGTTCCTCATGTGATCCAACCATAAAATTATTTTCGTTGCTACTTCATAACTGTAATTTTGCTACTGTTATGAACCATAATGTAAATATCTGATATGCAGGATGTATTTTCATTGTTATAAATTGAACATAATTAAAGCATAGTGATTAATCACAAAACAGTATGTAATTATATAGGTGTTTTCCGATGGTTTTAGGCGACCCCTGTGAAAGGGTCGTTCGACCCCTAAAGGGGTCTCGCCCCACAGGTTGAGAACTGCTGCTTTAGAGCTAACTATATTGCATGCGTTAAAAAAAAAATGAAGCTCATTTTTTTTTGGTCATTTTTATTTCCTAGAAGCCTCCCAAGTATATTGAAATTGCCTGCCTGTTCCACACACCAAGGCATAGTAATCCATTTACTTACTATGGTTTTCCAAGGGTCTTCTCAGCTCATCCATGGCTTTTTCTATAGTTCTTGCTCCAAAGGCTGAGAAAAATTTTGTGTGCAAACATATGGTCTTCTAGGTAGAAAACATTATTTGCTGTGGTTTTACTGGGCCATGATTGTCATGCTATTATCAAATGGTTGAGATCTTACGTACAAGACAAATTAAGAAAAAGCCAGCCACTGGCATTGATGATGATAACTGTAGGAGTTATTTTTTTTCGTAAAGGCAGTCCTGAGTGGCTCCATTAGAGTACATCTAGATTAACCTAGCTTCTGATTATTTTTCAGAACAAGAGTTCTCAGAAAATATTTCAACTGATTCACAAGCAGTATTTTTCTTTACCTATAAGTTTTAAGTTGAGGTTAAAATCTCTCTTCCCATTGTAGGCTATTGACTTGTCTGTAAAGGTTGGGATTCTGGCTTTGTACTGAAGTACTTTTTATCAACCTTCAGCTTTAGACATTCTTATTGCCTTAGCCCATGATCTGTGGAATCTGTGAAGGCAATTTATTCTGAAAATACCACTTACTGAAAGTAACTTCATTTTTTCATTAAACGAATTGAAGTTTCAAACTCTTTGTTTATTGCCAGTCTAACAAGGCCATTAATACTTCCTGTCCACTCGCGTTGGTGATAGCAGGGAGCTTACAGACTCTCGGCTGCACTGGCCAGATAACCAGTGACAGAGTGTGTCATGGCAGGTACTAGAGTTTCAGAGTAGAACCCAACTAATTTTTGAAACTTTAATGATTATAATGAGGCAGTTTTTATTTTCCCAATGCATGGTTTACTCAAAGGCCTCATAGAAAATAGAAATAGGGTATGATTCATCTGCTTTTTATAGATGGCAATAACATAATTAGGTTAAAGAAGAATGTGCCATGCCCTTAACCCTTTATTAATTGGTTATCTTTGAAGAAAGTGATTTCTCTATGATAACCACAATTATCAGAAGCTCAATAGAGGGTAATAACAGTAATATCTATAGAAAGAGCTATGACTTATTTTTTTTTCAGTATATCATGCTTTTCTGTGTATCTGTACCGATACTGCAGCAGCAGTTATCCATGGATGTCATCTGAGTATTCCCTCTACTCTCTAGGCACATCAGCATGCAGCTCCACTTGAAGTATTTGTTTTAAGTACTCAGCTATACAAAGGACATTTCAGTGATGTAATTAAAAATGAGACTGTTGGTTAAGTGGGTACCCTGTTACTTTTTAAATGAAGACCTTTAAGTGTGAATAGAGACCCACTGTGATAAGTTCCTATTATCTGTTGGTGCTGAGGCTGTACAAATTATAGAGGACTCCTCCTTTATTATGCTTCAGAGTTTTCCCATTCTTCATATCTGAGAAAATACATAGGGGAAATGCCTGATTTACCTCTTTCTGGCTTCTTTATATACCTGGTATTGAGCAGATTCTCTGTTACCTGTCTACATGTACCCCAAGGCTTCTCACTTAGCAAATTATTCTCTGTGGAAATTAAAAGTACTGTTTAGGTGTTAAGAACAGATATTTTTGTTCCAGACTTACTTCCACCAGGGGAGGAGGAATCAGTATAGCAGAGTGGATAATATAGACTCTGGCATCAGATGACCTGGGTCTACCTCTTAGCTCTTTGTTTATTGGCTGTGTGATCTTGGGCAAATTAGTTACTCTCTGTTTCCTCATCCATAAAATGGAAATCAAGTGAGAAAAACATGAAAGATACTTAGTCATCTTAAAAAACCATAGGAATACTCTCCTTTCTGTTTCTGTAGGCCTGTAGTATGTGACAAATGTTAGCTGCTCCTGTTTTTATTAATACTAGTAAATATTATATGGTGAGTCCATTGCAGATTCCAGGGCATATTTTTTGTCATTTTTCTTTTTATTTTAAATTTTATATAATACTCTACCAATTACATTTGCCAATTATTGAACACCTGCCCTGTGCAGAGCATTATGATTCATATTTAGGAGAATTAGAGAGTTGATAAGATTTTGTTTCTCTCCTTAAGACTGACAATCTAGTGGAGATAACTGCTTTGAGTAAGGAAGAAAATATGAGCCTGGTATTCTAAGCAGTTGTTTCTCCTCTCACTTTAGTTTTGAAGATTTTAAAATGAAAAGCCATGGCAAGGTTTTAGTTGATTAAAAGGATTGGAAGGAAACTTCAGGTAATGTAACATTAAAATAGCTGTGATGGATGGCTTTATTTCCAGTTTAGAGATGGCCCAGACAAGTAACTGGCCTAAGATCACCCAGCTGGTAAACTGAGAGGAGACATTTTAAACTAGCCCTCTCTAATTAAAATATATGCTCCTTCTGTAATACTTGCAATCCCTCTTAAAGGATTTTGGGGCAATTAAAAATTTTTTACCAGAAAAAAAAGTACTTAGAAAATTTTAAGGTCTTCAGAAAATAAAATATGACAGGCTTCTTTTTAGTTATCTGTTGCAGTGGTTAGCAGTTTTCACTGTCAGAAAATTTTTCCTTTGGTCTAACTTAAATCTGTATGATAGTTTAATCCAGATTCCTCTTCTTTCTTCCTTAGTAGAAATAGAGAATGTCTGGATACCATTTTATTCTAACAACCTTTAACTAGAATGATTAAGGCCAGATCATTTAGGAATGTGGTTTCATAGAGTTTTTGCCATTGACTAATGGTGTGGCTGCGGGCATGTTTGTGTACACCAGTTTCCAACAAAGCAACTTACCTAACCATGAAGAATTTTTTGAGTACAACATAAGTTAACATGTGTAAAAATGTTCAGAAAGTGCTTTACAAATTCAGGATACTATTATTTATGTGATTCCTGGGAAATTATTCATTATAATAATACTAGAGGCCTAGTGCACGAAATTTATTCACTGGTAGGGTCCCTAGAGGCTGCTGGCCGGGAACTCCTTTCCTTCCCCTGGCTAGCCCCGCCCTCTGGTCAAACTCCCAGATGACCTCCTGGTCGAGGGGACAATTTGCAAACTATGCTTTTATTATATAGGACTAGAGGCCTGATGCACAAATTCGTGGGGATGGTGGGAGGGTTCCCGTTGGCCGGCCGGGGGGGGTTCCCGTTGGCCCGCCGGGGGCAAAGGACTGCAGGAGGTTGGCCAGCCAGGGGAAGGATCGCGGGAGCTTAGCTGCTGGCCCAAGGAGATAGCCGGCCGGCCCTTGGCCCCCCCTGGGAAAAGGGCCGCATCCGCCACCACCCACCCCCAATTCCCTGCTGCAGCCCAGGGCCTCAGGAGAGGAGGCAACTGTCACCCGGCTTGGTGCGGAAAAAATGGACACCGGCCGCCACCGGCGGCCCACCACCACGCAGTTTTCCGCCTCCCTGTTTGGGAGCAAAACAAACCCTTGTGTCAAAGGCTGACTTTCAATAGATCACAGTGAGGAAGCTGCTCTGCTATATATGAAACCCATCCCAGAAGCAGTCTCTATGAATGGTTTAGCACCAGGGGCCAATGGGGGTCTGCTAGCCGAGGGGAGGGGCCACAGGAGTCTGGCTGTGGGAGTGCACTGACCACCAGGGGGCAGCTCCTGCATTGAGTGTTGCGTCCCCGAGCTGCCCCCTGGTGGTCAGTGTGCTCCCACAGCCAACCTCCTGCAGATGGCCAACCTCCTATGGTCCCTCCCCCCGGCTGGCCAACCTCCAGGCTCTGGTCGCCCAATCGGGACTGGGTGAGACTAAGACTGGTCCTGGGCCCCAATCACTGGCCAGGCCAAGGGACCCACCCATGCAAAAATTCGTGCACCAGGCCTCTAAAAAAAATATA